TGACACTACACGCAAAGCATTCTGTTTACACGAATCGCGCCGTGTGGTATTCTGCAATTTGTTCGCTGGGTACTTTGCTGGTCCTGGTGAGGAGAGAAAAAAAAGGAGTTTTCAGACTGTTATATCTACAAATTAACTTCATATCCATTGGATTAGTGAAAGAAGGAAAATCGGAAGGCCTCGGGGAAACTACATCTCTAACTATAGGAGAAAACCAACGAGCGACTGTACTCAGATAATAGAACGAGATTCTTCACTGACCATGGAGAAAATATTTGTTTACTCTGCCGTCTTCATGATTGTAGACCTATTGACTAAAACTCAAGGTACGTTAGCGRGRTTTGAGGTCTTCACTTTTRCTRAGAAGGTTAATTGCCRTTCTGGCAGAGGAAGGAAAATTGGAGTTTTTAAAGGAAAACCCTCCAATAAATATGTTCAGTGTATACTGAGCTACGAGCAAAATATAGTGCAATACAAATAAAACAAATGATATAAAAAATGCGATGCAATTAAAACAACATTTTATGTACTGAGAAAACRACATCAATGRTTTTGCGAATAATGTTTTCAAGCCKTTTCAGTCRCCGTTTTTTGCATTTCTTTTGGGCGGACGTTTCTTTAATTTTAAAGGTCAAATCGCATTGAATTCATATGTTTGGACGGCGTGTTGATAATTTGCTCTTCTGTTTCCTTAATTATAACTTTATCTTATTGGACTGACTTTGAGATTAACGTTTCAAGTTTTCCCTTTGAATTGTACGTAGTCAGCTGCCTTGACAAAAACGTGCTAACATATTATTAATTAATCGATAGCCTGTGTTTATTAATATTTTGGTATTCCACATGAAAGATTGCCCCGGGAGATAACAGAAAAAGTATTAATTTTTTCTCATTAAAATAGCACAGGGAGGTCACAGCCCCTGCTAGAAACAATACTTGAGTATTTTCATAAAAATCGAGCGTTTTGATCAGTGCGCGGCGTATAGTACAAGGGATGAAACTTTAGTCGGATCCCTCGAGTAAAATTTCTTTTAAAAAATCATAGAATGTCTTTTCAAATTTTGATTAGAGGAAGATTTCTTTTATATTTCTACCATCTATACTACCATACTTAGAAACACCTTTTTGTAAACTACTTTTCAGTCCTCTTTTTTCAATCGTTGTGCTAAACTCTGGAAGCTAATAGGCAAATTAGCTATACCTAGTAATTTTCTTAGTTTAAAGTCTTTCAAAGGAYTTTGTTACAAATGTAAACAAGGATCTGTTAATTAATGTTTTTGATACTGATTGGCCTTGCAGGTGGAGCCTCTATCGTAACTGTGGTTGGCATTGGCAATATATTTTATTTATTTATCCCTTTTCTTCTTTCCTTCGCTTAAGTCTTTTTACTTGYTTATCGTTTTAGCGGAGAGTAGCCTCGCATGGGACTCTAGGTCCCGTTCACGCCTTCCCTCTTGGTCCTTCTCTTGTATTATAATTATTTTTTCTTTAGTATGTATGTTATTTGGGAATTAAGAAGGAAAGTAAACATCAGTTGGGCCATTTTACAGCTGTTAAAGTTACTTGACACGAAAGTTGAAGTGAGAGATGTTGATACTTGATGTTTAAACTTAAACAAGAGCTTTCGCCTACTTTATCCGTAAAGAGGTAAATAATACTTCTGTACGAAGAAAGCAGCTTACTTCACTTTCCTTTGCAGAGCGTTTAGGAATTTATGAAAGAGGACATTTGATGATTTATGTAAGTTTTGCAGAATTTCTTCGCAATATGCTTACTTGTTTTCTCAAAAAAAAGTTTTGAAGATGAAAAAATGAATTCTAAACATGTTTTAACTTTTTAAAGATCAAAAGCAATNTGTTCTCTTAGTTAGTCGTTAATAATTAATAGCAGTAGTTAAGCAAGCCGATTTCATATTTTTCTTATTTTTCTTATTTTTCTTTAATCTTAAAATGCAGCCCATTCCCTATAATATAGTATGTCTTAACGATTTTGCCAAATTTGTTTGCTACTTGTTAACAGTGCGTATATTCAGTTCTTGATGCACATGGGAGGTTGTTTTTTCTTCAAGAAGCTAGTGTGAAAATGCATGGAATTGTTTTGTTTTAGTGTGTCAAAAGTCATTGGGTCTAAAAGACGGCACCATTCCTAACATGGYCATTACTGCCTCATCATTCTTTGGGTCTGGTAAGGAGCCATGGCGTGGAAGACTTAACAATGTTCCGTCCCAACCCAATGACGTCAAACGAGACGTAGGTACCTCGGTTCACTTCCGGCATGCATGCACTATGGCAATTCCTGCATCCATCTCCTTCATTATGAATTATAATAATATAAGTGTTTTAATTATAATGTGGTTTAATTATCCTCCAGGAAATGGCTGCAGATCACTGACTTTTCTTGATTGCATGAAGAACAAGACTTTTACCAACCATACCATAGAGTCATTTCAAGTCCTTTCGCCTGGTCTAGAACTATGCCAGCACTATTGCTTTCTAAACGAATTATGCGTATCGTACAACATGGGACCAGAAGAGGGAAAAGAAAGGATATGTGAATTAAGTGACAATGATCACGTAGCATATCCCGGTCACTTGATAACCAAGGTGGGATATGAGTACTGCCCTATTAAGGTGAGTGTTTATATATTCACACTATGACGTCACTTTCTAAATTATTTAGTAAGGTGGTGGAGGGGAGGTGGGGAGACGGGTGTAACATGCATATTAAAGTGCCAAGGTGTAGCCAGCTTGGAGATGTGTAATGGTTCGTGTTTGGGGTTACGGGTACAAGATAGAGACGAATAATTTCCGGTACGTTCTTCTTTTGGTTGAAATCCAAACGACACAGGAAGCACAGCCTTTAATTTGACTTCAGACATCTTTTACATAAAAAAAAGTGTACATAAAAAAATTCTTATTTATGTACACTTTTTTTTCTTTTCTTTTCTTTTCTTTTTTTTTTTTTTTTTTTTTTTTTTTTTTTTTTTTTTTTTTTTTTTTTTTTTTTTTTTTTTTTTTTTTTTTTTTTTTTTTTTTTTTTTTTTTTTTTTTTTTAAATGTCTGAGGGGAAATTAAAGGCTATGCTTCCTCTGTCGTGTGGATTTCAACCAAAAGAAGAACGCGGTCCCGTATATTAAAACCTTTTTTTTTCGTGCTCCGAACCTTAATACAACATGCTAGAAGTAACAATAAAARGAACGTTCGGAGAGAAGTACGAGCCATTGGCAAAGTGAAATCATCCCTTATCGATCTCTTTTGCTTTAGTTTATTTCATGAATATCAGTCCACGTGTCATTTTCTTGAGAATAAGAGTCTTCGTTTGAGAGGTATTCATCTTCTCGTGTCTTCTCGTGAACAACCGTTAAACGAAGAAATGATGCTCTAGGGAATGACAATAGGTCTGAAATGGGAAACAGTAGATTAGGTCTAGCTTTGGAGTGCATATGTTACGTCATATCTGTTTTAGGAGCAGGCGTAGCTCAGTTGGTTAGTACGCGACCTTCAGAGCTTGAGGTCTGTTTCGACTTCTCTCTAATCCGTGTAGCTTCAGCTTTAAATACTCTTAAAACAAAGCACTGATGGAGAGAGGGGGTAAAGTGCGCACCGTCGGCTTCCTTTTATAGCAGTTGAATTTCAACTGAAGGAACTACCGRCGTTAAATATAGGTACTTTACCTTTTTTTATGTTGATGGGGAATATCAAAGTATTCCTCTTTAACTTTTTATCGGATAAATATAATATCCAATGTAAAGAAGTCTATTATTTTCTCTTATTATATAATTACCAATGAAATATCTATTTATATTTATCTTGCATCTTTGCCTTTTTTCTCTTTCTTACAAAGAATCTTTGCTCGTCCAAYCCCTGTCGATTGGGATCAACCTGTCGGCCAGACTTTGACATGGATTCTTACAATTGTACAGGTATTCAAATTTGCTTGCAAAACATTGTTCTCTCTACTCCCTACTTTGGGCATTTCCCCATGTAGTTTTTTCTGGTGCAAAGCACGGCAACGGTCGCGGCTATAGGGGACCAAATATGTATCTTCTATTATAACTTAGCAGAAACCTACTAGCATACTATCACGAATTCTGCAATCTGATTGGCTAACTTACTCACTATCTATGCTGTGATAGATATCGAGTAGCGAAAAATATACAAGTGCATGGTCAAGTTTCGTCGAAATCTCTGCTTGTTCTCTAAAAGAATCTTTAAAAATCGATCGTAGAAAAGACAAGACTGTTTCAAGGAAAGATATTGAGGTTTTGAACGGTACAGATAAGTAAAAACTGAAGAATTGTGACAATTTTAACACGAAAAAGTGGCCGTCAGATTTCGCTGAGATTTTCATGTGCGAACTTCACGACTGACAAACAACTGACTACTGAGATAACGATGGTATTTTAAAAGATTCCCTCAAAGTACAGAAAAAATTCAAAACACAACTTATTCACATGTATTCAAGAAGAATTTTAAACGGTAAGAACAGACGAAACAATAAAGAGAGTGCAAGTTAACTGACAAGAATCTTAAACAAACTAGACAATCCATGATCATGTACTTTTTTT